AAAGTATGGGAGATGTGTGTTCTCAAACGCCCCATCTGCCTGCGCGTGCCCTTTCTCAGTCACCACCCCGGCAGAGGGTTTTCCAGAAAGGACAGCTTCCAGGACTAGGGTGACAGCCAGGTCAGCAAAGTGCTTGTCCTGCAAGCCTGAGGACCCGAGTTCAATCCCCAGAACCCACAGCAAAAGCCAGGCCCACACCTGGAGTCTGAGCACTGGAGCGGTGAGGACAGGAAGATCCCTGGGGCTTGCCAGTTAGCCAGGCTAGTGTAATGGGTGAGCCCTCAATAGTTAGAGAACCTATCTCAAAAAAATGCACAGGATACAAGCTACACAAAGAAACCCTGTCTAAAAAAACCAAAAAAAAAAAAAAAAAAAAATAGACCGAGGCTGGAGAGACGGCTCAGTGGTTAAGAGCACTTGTGCTCTTGCCAGGGACCCAGCTCCTCTTCCCAGCACACACACGGTGGCTCACAACTGCCTATAACTCCAGTACCAGGAGATCCAACACCCTTTTCTGGCCTCTGCAGACATGCACATTCACACACATACATGTAAATAAAAAGTAAAAAAAAAAATTAAAGACAGACCACGTCTGAGGAAGAACGGTACATGAGATCGTCCTCTAGCCCGCACACACATACATGTACTGGCTCCCGGAGTGAGGCTGTGGAGGAAAATTGCCTGCCAACCCAGTGGAACTTATAACCTGGGGGGCTGTTAATGTGTCTAGCCACCCAGCCCCAGGGGCTGTTTGTTACTGCAGAACTGCTTTACATTCTCTGACTGATTCAGCTTGTGGCACACTCTGGGATGTCTGCCACATCATTCACTGGGAGAGAGATCGGTTTGCATGAGAAAAATAAACAATCCACTTCCTTTTCCTCTGGCCAACAGCCTTCACCCCAAGAGTGGCTTCCAGCCTACGCCTAGGAGCCCGGTGATTTCTGGAACACCTCTGAGGCTCGGGCCCAGTTCTGTGTCTTCCTTTGTGTTCCCTTGCAGCAGTGAACATTAAACACAGTGCAGAGAATGTGAGACAGGTGGAAGGGACCTAGCTTATCTTTTTGTTTTGTTTTTGTTTTGTTTTTTTGTTTTTCGAGACAGGGTTTCTCTGTGTAGTTTTGGTGCCTGTCCTGGAACTCTCTCTGTAGACTAGGCTGGCCTCGAACTCACAGAGATTCACCTGCCTCTGCCTTCCGAGTGCTGGGATTAAAGGCGTGCGCCACCACCGCCCGGCTAGCTTATCTTTTTGAAACAGGGCTTCATGCATCCCAGGCTGGCCTCAAACTCATTATGTGGCCAATTGAGGCAACTGACTGTCATTTATCCTTTACCGTGTGCTCACATAGTCCCATGTTACTGCATCTGGATGCTTTGGACACATCATTTAATCTTCCCAGAGCAGAGGCAGAAGAAGTGAACTCACCCAACATTGCACAGATAAACGTTAGAGATGACACTGAGGCAGTATCCTAATGTCGTGGATACCTCATCTCATGGAGAGGGGTACAGGTGAAGGACAGGTCTACAGGACATGCTGGAGGAGGGGCCTTTGTCAAGGGACTCTGCCACTGGGTTCCAATGTTTACGGAACAGTAGCTGTGGTGACTGTAAACAAGCACTGGTGATCAGTAAGGACACTGGGCCACACTCACCCCATCCTAACCTCCCTCCACAGCCAGAGGAGGTCACTGGGAGCTTCCTATAGAGCCCAGGGACCCAGAATGGCACAGTGACACCCCCACAGACACGAGTACTCTTGCTGGATACCCTGTGCCACAGGCAGGTGTCCTGAGACCATCCTTCCAGCTGTTGCCTGTTCCGTTTGCTTGGTAGCCTCTCCCTGGATAAACGGCAGCATTGCTAGGAGAGGGTGGGAGCCAGCACTGCTGAGCAGTTGCTATGGGCACAATTCTACCAAGCAAATACTTGCATCATGTCTCAAGAGACCTTGGCACCCCTAGGAAGCAGTATCTACTGTACAGATTAAGAGTCAGGCCCACGACTCTCAATGGCTTGCACTTGGGAGACCAGCAGCACAGCACCACCTCAAACCCTTGTCTCTTAAAATCCAAAGCTGCAAATGAACTGTGATGCTAAGCCAGGGAATTTAGAGCTGACTCTGAGACACAGATGTCCTATCTTCATCTATCCCTCCAGATGTTGAGTGATTTGGTTTATTACTTGTAACTTAGTGGTGTGTGTAAGTGTGTGTGTGTGTGTGTGTGTGTATGTGTGTGTGTATGTGTGTAGTGCATGCACATGTGTGTGGTATGTACATGTGTGGTGTGTGTATGTAGTGTATGCAGATGTGTGTGGTATGCACGTGTGTGTGTTTGCTTGTGTGGGTGCATATGGAGGCCAGAAGTTGGCATTGAGACGTCTTTCCTCAATTGCTTCTCCATCATATGATATCTCCATCATATCTCATTCATTGAGATAGTCTCTCAGTGAACCTGAAACTCACTGTTTCAGCCTGACTGAGTAGCCAGTGAGCTTCTAGGATCCTCTCCCTTACACGCACCATCAGCCCAGTGCTGGAGTTGGAGGTACACACCATCATGCCCAGCCTTTATGTTCTGGGAACAAAAACCCGGGTTCCCATTCATATGCTGCCAGAATCTCCCTCACTAAGTTCTCCCAGCCCCTCTTCTAGTACAGAAACAGTGTCATGCTGCTTGAAACCTGGTCTCAAATTCCTGGGCTCTAGCAATCCTCCTGCCTCAGCCTTCTGAGTACTGGGACTACAGGCATACACTACCATGCCTGCCTGCAATGGCTGAGTGTTTTCCGCGCGTCTGCTCCATTCCAGGCTCTGGACTGGAGTCTGAAGCAAGCTGGCCTTGGCCTCCTTCTATTCACCAGGGATGGCCCTCCAAATTAATGTCGTGCTTGGAGTGTTTTCCATTGTCCCCAGGTCCTAAGAGGACCAGCCAGCAGCCTGTGGCTTCTCCTCTGGGCAGTGGGATTGGAGGTCTTTCTGGGAGAGTCCAGGTCTGAGTGTTTCAGGAAATCTCTGATCTGCCAGATTTCTGTGTAACTGATCAGTCAGAGATGGGGGAAGGTTTCCCGTCAGCCCGGCTTTTGTCTCTCACATGAGCCCGAGACAGACAAACCACAGCCACAGACTCAACCAGCTGTGGAAGCATCGAACAGGAAACCCAGAACATCTGGTGCTCCACTTCCTCTGGAGGTTGCGCACGTCTGGGTGCCTGTGTGTGGTTGCCTGCTTTCTCTCCCGCTGTTGGTTAGTGGGACTCAGATGCAGACAGAGTTGGAAACCACAGGCCTTGTGGTGACAAGGAGCCAGACACTGGCTCCCAGACCCTGACAGCACATGGCTGCTCCTCAGACAGGATCCCAGGCAGGATCCAACCCAGGCTCCAGGCCACCCTCCAGCTCCCAGCCATAGTCAGCTGCAAGTCACCGTGCAAGCAAAGCGAAGGCATTCTTTCGCTTCTGGACATAGGTGGTTTTTCAAGCCGCTGTCTGGAGATGTGGCGGGAGGGCTCTGCCTAAACAGAACTTGGCCTCCTGTGCAGACTCACAAAATGCAGTGTCTAGATAAAGCTGCTTTTATGATAATTTGGGAATCTGTGGGTGACCACTGGAGCCCTGTGCTGAACAGAGGACTGATTTCCCTTTAGTGATGGCAGCCACCATGTAAGGACTGGGTTTGTTGGGGCCCACACCCCCTTCCTTTTTTTTTTTTTTTTTTTTGAGACAGTGTTTTTGTCTTTTTTTTAATTTTTTATTTATTTTGAGACAGGGCTGTATTATGTAGCTCTGGCTGGCCTGCATCTTGCTATGTAAAGCAGGCTGGCCTCGAATGTACAACACTTTCCATTTTTTGAAGGAAATACATATAAGGAAATGGAAAAGTTCCCAAAATCATATCATAAAGTTTAAGTCTTAGTAGCCTTAGGAAGTAGACATTATGAAAATGTTTAAGAATCATTAAACTGACACACAGAGAGGGTCTTAGCTCCCCTAGGAGCACACAGCAAGTAAGAAGTAGAAGGTATTTTGCTTATATATGATAGCTTCTGAGTTTGCATTTTTATGGGATTTCTGTGTGTGTGGATGTGTGCGTCTCTGCATCTGTATGTTTCTTGTGGTGTGTGTGTGTGTGTGTGTGTTGTCCCTATTCTGGTCTGTTTGTTTTAATTCTATTTTATTTTTATGTACCTGGTTGGTTTCTTTTTTCTAATGAGAGAAAAAAAAAAGGGTATGAATTTGGGCGGATGGGTAGGATCTGGAAGGGGCTGGAGGAGGGGAAGTGAGATCAGAATATATTGCATGAAGAAAATCTATTTTCAATTTTAAAAAAAGAAGAAGTAGGGCTAAGATTCAAATGCAAGTCAGTTCCTAGCTCCCTGCCAGGCCCTGGATGACACTTTCTCTCTCAGTAGTAATAAACTGCCCAGCACACAGCTGGTGCTCAATAAATATTTCCTGACTTAATCAACCAACTGCGCTATCATTTGTGACAGAGACAGTGCCACCAGAACAGGAGACACACAGCACTATCTGCACAGATGCACAACACAGAATGGATGCTCTTTTGTTACTGGCATTGTCAGAGTCAGAGCCTGGGTCCTGGCAGCCCTGACAGTCTAGACTCAGCATCCTGTTCTCAATAAGCCAGTTACAGAAACAAATAATAGTGAAAAGCAGAGAGAGGAGATTCATTCAACGTGGCCACATCGGCAAGAGGAACAAAGAGGTCCTGTGGCCCTCTAAGTCCATCTTGAGGGTTCAAACGTGAGGTTTCTGTTTAAACAAGAGGCGAGAGGTATGCATAACTAAGCAGTCCCCGAGAAGGTGTGGTCCCACCCGTGATCCTCTCCAGTCTCTTCTGCAAGGCCATCTGCGAGGCGTTAGAGCTGTGTGGAATCTCTCTCGGGGAGACAATGGCCCCCTCTGGCCGGCACCAGTGTCTCTTTAGAATATCCTCATTCCTGCCAGGACCATTACATAGCCAAGGTTCTCAGTGTTACCTGTGACTCTAGAAAGCCTGGCGGAGCCTCTCCTCAGCCCACAGAGCTCAGGAGCCCGTTAGGAAGACGGCCTGCAAAAAGAAAGCTTGCTGGCAACAGTGATTTGTGAATTCATCTAGCAGTCAGACGGGCTAGGCATGATGGAGGCGCGCCAAGAGATGGAAGCGATAAGATGAGCAGAGCACTCATCAGTTAACCGGGTATCGCCCGCAGGCGGCTCAAAGCAAGCCAGAGAGAAGCTGCAGCACCTTGGGTGATTTCTGCAGCTAAGATGAAAGGAGTCAGCTCCCCTCAGCAGACGCGCTCGCCCAAGACTGCGAACTGAAGCTCAGCGCGCAGCGACCTGAGGCGGCACATGCGCAGTGTCCCGGGCCATGCTCTTTTTCACACCTGCCGAGTCCCGCTCCTGAGGATAGGCTTAAGTCACCCAAGCGGCGTGGGGTGATGGCGTCATCGGGAAGCGCCAGGAGCAAAGTCGTTGCCGTGGAGATGACGCAGGCGTCTAACCCCGCCCCCGTGTTAGGAAAGCTGAAGATTCAAAAGCCCGCTGGAGCTCTGTTCTAGGGCCCTGGTTCTCAACCTGTGGGTCCTAATCCCTTAGAGGGGAATCGAACATCAGATATCCTAGTATAAAATATATACATTATAATTCATAAGAGTAGCAAAATTACAGTTATGAAATAGCAACAAAAATAATATTATAGTTGGGGATTCCCCACAACATGAGGAACTGTATTAAAGGGTCACAGCATTAGGAAGGTTGAGAAACCACTGCCCTAGGACACATTGTGCTCAGGTTCCATGGTGACTTATTTTGCATAGAGTGTAAGGATGATTCCAGCAACTTACAGACCCAGGTTGAGAATACCAAAATCTATGTGAGGGGTGTGGTGGCACACACTTCTAATCCTAGTACTCAGGAAACAGAGGCCTGCTGATCTCTGTGAGTTCAAAACCAGTCTGGTCTAGACAATGAGACTGTCTTTTAAAAAAACAAAACGATTTTAGGTGCCGGGGAGATGGCTCAGTGGTTGAGAGCACTCACTGCACATGCAGAGGACACGGGTTAGACTGTCTTAGCCACTGTGCTGTTGCTGTAAGGAGACATCATGACCGCAGCCACTTTCATCAAAGAAAGCGTTTAACTGGGGGCTTGCTTGCAGTTGCAGAGGTTTAGTCTTGAGGGGAAGGTGGTCCGGCAGCACACAGGCAGACATGGTGCTAGAGAAATAGCTGAGTTCTACATCCTGACACACGGGAAGCAGAGCGAGACACTGGGCCAGGCATGGGTTTTCGAAACCTCGAAGCCCACCCTGAGTACACACTTCCTCCAACAAGACCACACCTCCTAATCCTTCTAATCCTATCAAAGAGTTGCACTCCCTGGTGACTGTGATGGTTTGAATGGAAATGGCCCCCGTTGGCTCATAGGGAGTGGCATTATTTGAAAGGATTAGGATGTATAGCCTTGTTAGAGTAGGTGTGGCCTTGTCAGAGGAGGTGTGTCACTGGGGTGGGGCTTTGAGGTTTCAAAAGCTCAAGCCAGGCCCAGTGTCTCTCTCTATCTTCCTGCTGCCTACTGTGAAATAATGCTTTTGTACACTGATTTAATAAAACCCTGATTGGCCAGTAGCCAGGCAGGAAGTATAGGTGGGATAAGCAGATGAGGAGAATTCTGGGAAGAGGAAGGCTGAGTCAGGAGACACCATCCCACCATCTAGAGAGTAGCATGTAATGGCACACAGGTAAAGTCACAGAACATGTGGCAACATATAGATTAACAGAAATGAACTGAGTTTAAGTGTAAGAGCTAGTCAGTAATAAGCCTGAGCTAATTAATGACTCAACAGTTTTAATTAATATAAGCCTTTGTGTGCTTACTTAGGGGATGAGCTGACCCCATAACTCTATGACAAGGAGAACAGCAAAAAAGCCCAACAGTCAAGCATCATGTCCTTGAAAACACCTGGAAGGTAAACCATTTCCAACAGACACCACTATTGTTTATCCCATGATATGAAAGTGCCTGCAGTGGGAGAGAGAAGCCAGAATTTCTGCCTTGGGGAGTTCAGCCATGGAGAGAACGCTCTATCAGGAACTCCTAGATCTGATGGACATATGAGCACCAATCTGATGATAGTTTGCTATTTATTCTTTTACTTTGGCTTGCCATACTTAAGAAACCCATTCAGAATGGAAAGCACAGTTATCAGGATCATCCCCCAAACCATACAGAACATGGAGCCTTAGTGTTTTCATGACAGGATTTCCCTCTCAGAATGGAAATGTGCTGTTTCTACCTCCCCCAAAGCATTCTTTGGTGACCCCCACTTCTCTCCCCATTGTTTTCCTGGCTATCATGACTCCTTGAAAATACCTATATTCCTCTTCCAGCTTCCACCTCCTACTCGATTAAACCCTCTTCTGTCTCCTCTACATTCTTGTCTTCTCTTCTCTTTAGGAATATTCTCTGTAGGCATAATTTTCTGTCCTGCCAGCCAGCTCCCAAATAACCACACAGAGACTTATTATTAATAATAAGTGCTTGACCGATAGCTTAGGCTTGTTACTACCTTGCTCTAACAACTTAAACTAACCCATATTTCTTTTCTACATTCTATCACTTGGCTTGGTATCATTCTTTAACATGGCATGTTCGTCTTCCTTCTCCCAGAGTCTCTTGGTGACTCAGCCCTTCTTCATCCCAGAGCTCTCTCCCTGTCTGCAAGTCCCACCTAAACTCTTCCTGACTACCTATTGGCCATTTAGCTCTTTATTAAACCAGTGAGAGCAAGTCATCTTCACAGTGTACAGAAAGATTATTCCATGACAACTTTCTGCGCTTGGCTTTTGGCATGGCACATCTGACTTTGTTTCTCCATTCCTGGTCCTCCTTCTCCATCTCACTTGTTGGCTCCAACTCTTTCCTATGACTTCTAAACATGACAGTGACACACATCAGACAGACCTGTAACAATTCATCCCTGTGCTTCCTTCCTCATTTGCTCTATGATGGCCTCTTCCACTTTGGTGTATAAAGACCATTTTCATAGTGATGACTGATCTATATTCCTCCAGCCTAGAATGCTGCTCAGGCTCCAAACCTTGACAGCTCCTTCATCCCACACCCCATCTGCTGGCAAATCCTATTGGCTTTTTCTTCAGAATAGATACAGAAATCAAGGCTGGAGCATAATTCAGTGGGAAAGCACTTGCCTAGCATGCATGACTCTCCAGGGTTGATCCCCAGCACAGATGTAGATGTCTTCAAACACCAACATTCCCTGACACAGACTTAGAAGACACCACCCTTGTCTCTCACCCGGACGGACACCATGGTCCTGCTTCTATGTTTACCCCTAGTTCCTTCCCCCCATGTATGTTCATGTGACCCCAGTAATTCTGCTCAAAGGCATATCCTGCAGCATCTCTGTGTAAATCTTTCCAGAGGTGCCCATCTTGCTTGGAATAAAAATTTTGTCATGAACAGCCTCCACGCACATTGCCAGGTCTCTTTGTTCCTGACCCCCCTTGCTCATCTAGCTCCAGCCATGCTGGACATTTGTACATGTGTGTGTGCATATGTATGAGTGTGTATATGTGTGTGTTTGTGTGTGTACGACACCACACATATGTGCAGATCAGAGGACACCTCTGGGGAGTTGGTTATCTTTTTCCACAATGGATCCCAGGGGTTAAGCTTAGGTTGTCAGGCTTGTTCAGTGCTCTTTACTTACTGAACCATAAAATAAAAAACCTTACTTTATTATTTTATTTTTGTGGTGCTGGGGACTGAGCCCAAGCTTTGTTCATGCTAGTCAAACACACTACCACTGAGGGGTATTCCAGCCTGATGTTAAATTGCACATCTGATTGGCTCCAACCCACATTCCTATTCTGTTCCCTTTTGGTTCATTACATTTAATTCCCTTACACACACACACACACACACACACACACACACACACACACACACACACACCACGAGTCATGTGACACTAAATGAAGGAATGTGTCTGACAGCCTCATCTTTAGGCCACTTTGTCATTGTTCAGACATCACAAAGTATGCACACACAAACTACGATGAGCAATTAAAGCTTATGGGCTACTGTCATCTATGAGGCCCATCATTAGTTAAAAGGTTTTGATGTCCAGCCTGACTGTGAATCATATACGCAAAGTACATATGACGTATAGAATGTATGTATCCTATTGAATCCCTCTCCACACAAAGGCAAGGTTTTCACAGTGTGTCATGGCTCTTGATCCCAGGTCCTTTGTAGAACTTAGGTCCGAAGGATCTGTGGAGAAAATGAATTCCAAATGGGAGGTGTAAGAACTGGCTCTGAGCTTTAGGGGTTCTCCTCCTCCTTTGCCACTTAACTGCTTCGTGGTGGCTATGGTGGTTTGAGTGAGAATGGCCTCCACAGGCTCATATAGCTGCCAGCTTGGTCACTAGGGAATGAAACTGTTTGGGAAGGATTAAGAGGTGTGGCCTTGTTGGAGGAGGTGTGTCGCTAGGGTGGCCTTTGACCCAGTGTCTCTGCCTGCTGCCTGTAGATCAGGATGTAAAGCTCTCAGCTTCTGCTGCAGCACCGTGCCTGTCTGCTTCCCACCATGATGATTATGGACGTATCCTCCAAAACTGTAAGAGTTGCTTTGGCCATGGCATCTCCTCATGGCAATAGAAGAAGTAACTAAGCCAGTGAACTTTGAAACATTTCTTTTCCTTCTTGAATATGAGCAGTGACTATTGCAGCTTTTCATTTTACAATCTCAAGACCTCCCTGAATAGGCAGCTGCTTTACCGGCACCACAGCAGCAGCCCTGGACGCAGGTTCTTCCTAGTTCCCCTGCATTGAGGAGCTTGTGACAGATGCTGCACTATGGTCACACAAATGTTGGTTTGCAAAGCATGACAGGTGCAATATGGGAAAAGCAAGTAGACGTGAAGGGACAAGGAGAGGGAGAGCCTCCTGGACAGCTCTACCTTGTGTGGAATTGCAGCGCTAGAATCCAGCTTCTGCCCATGCCACAGTATCTGCAGCAGCCTCCTCTCGCAGATGCCGACAGGCACCCCCTGACACACAAGTCCCTAGCTAACAGGGCCACACATGCTGTCTCCCACTCCGTGCCCTGCCCCTGCCTGGGAATCAGAGCCTGCGGCTGCAGGGTGGGGGCCAGAGGCTCCCTTCTCTGCCATCATCTTGCCTCTCTGTCTGTCTGTGATGCTAATAACGTTCCTAATAAACTCACTTCCCAGCAATCTGCCTCAGTGTCCCTCTTGGAACTCCCCTCCCCCAAAACCTTTCACTATTGTTTGAAGTGTTTTCTGCCTGAAGAGGGAAGGTTTAGAACAATGCAAGAGCCCCTGTGTCTGTCTTCTGAAAGCCCAGACACAGTGGGAGACTGGACGTGAGAGGAACACTCTGTGTGTGTGTGTGTGTGTGTGTGTGTGTGTGTGTGTGTGTGTGTGTGTGTGTGTGTGTGTGATGCTGGGGATGGAACCTAAAGCCTTGTGCATGCTGAGCAAGCTCTACCACTGAGTCATGGTCATGTCTCTCACCCTCTATTTTATTTCTTTGCTTTAGTTTCAGTTAAACAGTTCCCTTAGGCTTTCTTTCTTTCTTTTCTTCTTTCTTTCTTTCTTTCTTTCTTTCTTTCTTTCTTTCTTTCTTTCTTCCTCCCTTCCTTTCTTTCTTTTTCTTTCTTCCCTTCCTTCCTTCCTTCCTTCCTTCCTTCCTTCCTTCCTTCCTTCCTTCCTTTCTTTCTTTCTTTCTTTCTTTCTTTCTTTCTTTCTTTCTTTTTTTGAGAAAGGGCTTCTCTGTGAGTAGCCCTGGCTGTCCTGAAACTCTATATACTGGACAAGCCTAGATCTCACAGACATCTGTCTGCATCTGCCTTCCAAGTGCTGGGATTAAAGGTGTGCCTGTGCTGCCAAGGCCACCGGCCACCACTGCCACTACCGCCTAGCTCCCTTGGGGTTTCTGTCATGGTGGTTCCACCCATCCCCATGGCCTGCCCTCTGGCTTCCCCTCTTCAGGTAAGGACTCTAGATTCTCATCACAATCTACCTATCTGCTACAGACTGCCCTGTGGCCTCCCCACTCCAGGTAAGGATCCTAGATTCTTGTGGTGGCTTAAAAGAAAATGGCCCCCGAAGGGAGTGGCACTACTAGGAGGTGTGGCCTTGTTGGAATAGGTGTGGCCTTGTTGGAGGACATGTTCGTTATGGGGTGGACTTTGAGTTCTCCTATGCTCAAGCTACTCCCAGTGTCACAGTCCACTTCCTGTTGCCTTCTGATCAAGATGTAGCCAGCACCATGTCTGCCTACACACCGCCATGTTCCCACCATGATGATAATGGACTGAACCTCTGAAACTTAAGTGAGCCACTGTAAGCACTACAGCCTTAATGGAAAGGTATCCTGGCAGCCGGGAGGGAGCCAAGAAATACCACAAAGTCACACCACACAGCAAACCTCACACGGGAGATTTATTGGAGGGAAAAAACAGAAGACTGGCTGCCTCTGCTTGATCGAGAAACAGCAGCAAACTGAGCAGGATACAGGGCTTATATGGAGTTTTCTTGGGAATGAGGTGGAACTTTCCAGGGTGGAGCTTTCCAGAGTGGAGATCTGTGGGGTTTCACGTCCAGAGAATGGGCTTTTTTCTCTGTAGAGTGGGGACAGGGTCCAGCAGTTAGGGCAGTTAGAGTATTCTGTAGGTGGAACCTGGCAGTTAGAGGTCCTTGGGGGAGGGGCTTACAGCCACCCTGATTAAATGTTTCCTTTATAAGAGTCTTGGTGGTCATGGTGTCTGTCAATAGAAACCCTAACGAAGACGGTTCTCATCACTCACCCCACCCATCACCAAAGCCTGGATTCTCTGCCCATCCTCTGGCCCCTCAACTCCAGGTGGGGACCCCAGGTTCACATTACCATCTGATCCACCTATCCCCACAACCTGCT